TTGATATTGATATTGATATTGATATTGATGTTGATATTGATATTGATATTGATGTTGATGTTGATGTTGATATTGATATTGATATTGATATATTCATGTTCATGTTCATGTTCATGTTCTTGTTCTTCTTAAACTTGTAGTCTAAACTAAGTGCTGTTGTTTCTAGTAACTGCTCTTAGTAGCCTAAGTTATTGGGTGATTCCTGTTATTATTTGCTAAATTTGATACAGACCAAAAATTTAGCACATCTATAACAAATTCAGCAAATTTTTACCGGGTAAAAGACCTGTTGTTGGTGTTGCTGAAGAAAGTACTTGCAGTAACCTCACTTCAATCTTGAATGCTTCCTAATGCAGAGGACGCTGATACAATATGGAGGAGTTGCTGATACAATACAGAGGCGCTGCTGATACCATACAGAGGAGTCACTAATACAATGCAGAGGAGCCATGGATATGATAGGGAGGAGCTGCTGATACGGAGGAGCTAGCACTGATACAATCCAAGTTGCTGATTGATGATGATACAATAAGAGTTGCTGCATTGCAATTTCTACTATACTCTATTTTCTACATGAGTTTGTAGTACTTAATTCCAAATAAGTTTCCTTTTTGTTCTTGGCAGTGTACCTGCTGAGGTGCAAAAGCCTGGTTATATAATAACTGTGGCGTTGCACATGTACCATAAATGTAACCAGAATTTTATACCTGTTGAGGTCCGTGTCATTATCAAGGGACAAGTTGTAATATCACTGAGATTGAGAGCTTGCTTGAGATTGAAGTGAGGTTACTGCAAGTATCTTCAACAAGCTTCTTGTGAGCTTTAGCTTGAAAGCTTGTTGAAGATACTTGATTTGTGGTACCAATGCAATGCCACAGTTATTTATGGAATCAATTGAGTAGCATCAAATTTACATGTATCCATGAAGCACAAGGTTACTGCTCACCATGCTGGTCTGATACAGAGGATGCCAACTGATGTGGAGGACACTCTCTGATGATACAGAGGATGCTCACTGATATGGCATCCAATAATATGGCATCCAATAATGTGGCTTCCACTATTACAATACAAGTTGCTGATACAATACAGAGGAGCCACTGATACAATACTACCAGTTGCTGCTGCTGGTGGTGGTGATGGTGTTTTTGCTTGTTTCCCCCTGCAAATCAATATTTCTGAGGTGTTTTCCACACAACTTTGTACTGGAATAGCAATCAAGATTTTCAACTGAAAACTGCTCACATTTTTTAGTACTCCTCGTACAATATACTGTGTACTACTAGTACTGATTTTGTGGTGAGCACCGAAAACAGTTTTTAGTTTGTACCTGTTGAGGTGCATGTGCCTGGTTACAAGCACACCACCAGACCCCTTTTTTTGTAAACAGCCCTGTTTTTTTTGTAACCACACTACTATTGGTATTGTGTAAAAACTACTATGGGCTTCTCTATAGGGAAGGTTTTGGTTACAAATTCTGGTTACAAAAATTTAGTCCGCGTGGTTTGTAACCAGGTTGAGGTGCGTGTACTTGGGAAGCAAAAAATAACTAGTAGTGTTTGTTAGTGTTAGTTTTTTGTACCAGCGCAGTAACCAAGTGCGCTTTCTTCTCGGCTACTCAATGGTTACAAGCGTGCACAAGTGCACCAGTGCGCTTTTTTTTGTCACCAGACCAACTTTTTTTTGTAACCACACTTCTAGTAGTATTGTGTACAAAATATGGGCTCTCCTTAGGGAGGGGTTTGGTTACAAAATTCTGCTTACAAAATTCAGTCCGCATGGTTTGTAACCAGTTGAGGTCCATGTACTTCAGCAAAAAATAACTTGTGTATAGTGCAATCTGCTCAACAAATCATGTACCTAAAAAATACCACGCGCTCTGAGTACATGGAAATGTTGAGCTACTCAACAGTTACTTTGCAGTTGGGATTGCAAGCTTCGTACTACGAAGTAATAATTCTGTAATGTTGCCATGGGATTCAGATAGGGTCATATATTCTCGAATAGAACGTGAATCTTAAACAACTATATATGTTTAGTCTATCGAATCTTCGTTATAGCAATGATTGCACTTTTCCTAGCTGGGAACGTGAAGGAATTGGATTGCAAATGAAACATAAGCTGCGACATCGCGAGTTGGAAATGTATCTGAATATAAGGCACTTGCGTATTCAGGTGAATATATTGTCCAAGAAAAACAATGGCTTGATGCGCAGTGTATCATCATTGTCTTCGTCTTCCTTTTGCGAATGATCGGCGTCATCTTTATCGGGACTTGATGGCGTTGAATCCGAGAGAGTTTCGTTTCTTTCTTTGTCTTCAGTACTACGACCTGCCTTAGCGCTCCTGCTTCCAACACCATTCTCTCCTTTTTCTTCGGTCCTCTTGTACGAGAATTTGCAAAACTTTGGGATGTAACCGAAATTCATTACAAAAGCGCCTGTGGCTTGGCACATCTTTCGACGCAACGCTTCTACCGAGTCAACACTGTTTTTGACGGAAATCACGCCTGCTTTTATTGCTCCGTATTGAACAAACAAAACCTTCATGCAACTGGTATAAAATATAGCAGCAGCTACGGCTCGTCCGAGTAAAAGACGGCCTTCTGGGGAGACTACGGAATCGATGCCAAACGGAAGATTAAGATTTCGTAAGATTCGTCCTCGATCTTTTACGGCCTTGATCCTTCCATTGTCATTCGCTGACGACTCGGAATTGGCATGTCTCATTTTCCCACCAACGTAGTCCCTCGGATGATATTCGAGTTTTTCCTCTACAAAACGCGCCAAGACCCAAGCAAAGTATTCTGGTTTTGTTCTGTGCGGAGCGCTTCCACCACCGAGAATGGCGCATCGCCCATCGAAATCGTTTTCATCAAAGGTGGAAGATAATCCTCCACGACTTCCCGATCCCGATGCGATCGATCGCAGGCCACCATCCCACACTATGACAAAGGGGCAATCCAAATTGCGGTGCAAAAGAGTGTCTAATGTACGAGCATTGCCTGAGTCTGCTGCAAATCGGTTGGATTCCGCCAAGTCGCCACAGAGGATAAGACCAGCGATTCTGTTGGGTGCCAACATCATGGCAGTTTCTATGGCAAGCAACGATTCATCATCACAACCCACAAGAACGGCAGTATTCCATTTCAAAGCATCTGCAGCATCGATACAATTTGGTAAGTAAGACAATCAGAATCTGCAAGTTCTTGTTTTTCCTACGAGTTGTGTCGCTGGAGAGATCATACAGGCAGGCAGGCAGGCAGATTGACAGACAGACAAAATGATGAACATCKGCACTCGCATGCACGCACCAAGGATTTCCAACACCAAATGTGGTGCGTCTTCATATTGGCTTTCTCCATTTTGAGTCGGATTCCCATCGCCATCCTTGTCGATCATTCGTTCGCAGGCCATTACATTGAAACCCCTCGAAGCAAGTGTCTGTCCTACCGTCTTCCAATGATCTACGTTCGGTCCCAGCAAGATGAAATTTAGAGATGTCTCGTCGGAATGTGACGGATGGTGCGAGTGCGCTCCTCCTCCTCTGTTTCTCGACTTTCCAAAGTATTGATATACCACCGGGGAATGCTTGGTGGTTTGGCCATCGAATCGTTTTGTGCTGCTCCTACTGTGATTGTCCTTCCACCGGCGTATCGGGTTACGCTTCTTCTTCATGTGTTCGCTATCATCTACGAAGTCGCCCTCGTCGTTGGGCAGGAAACGATTCGCTCCGCCTCGCGGCACAATTATGTGGCTTGTGCTCCTTCGATTGTTGTTCTTCTTTCGCCTCGACAAGTGTGCGTAAAAATTTTGGAATTTATTCGTGTCGTGTGCTTCTACCTTCCCTCCAGAGAAACGAAAGTATCTCCCCCCAAGAAAAGCAAGAAGAAGAACCACGGTCGATAAACAGGCGAATGCAACGGGCCGTGGTCTGCGACGTCGGTAAATCCGGCAAGTGGAACCGCCGCCATCATGTAAATTAACCTTCCCGGCTGCAACAGAAATCAAAGGAGCACCGCGTTGGCGACATGACATCGGTCCGCTGGTTACACAATGACGTATTGGCTGTTCTGTATCCATAGTATGATTGGTATTCAAAAGACGAGAGGTGTAGCTTGGTTGCATATCATGCAAGCATCAGATTTGTGCTGAGATGAAATTGGGGTTCCTCCAACCGTACCTTAGTTCCACTCGGTGTGTCAAGGTTGCGTTGCAGTTACGATACGGTATGAAGGTACTCGTGCCGTTGAGCGTACGAGTGCTAGTATCCTTTTCTCTTGATTTGGACCCCGTTCCTGGAAGATAAAAAATGCGTTTGGTGATTAAAAGTATTGATGTAGCCTTGGGGAGCATAATTAGTACCGGTACGTACGTACTTAGTGGTCTGCGTTCTGCGTGGTAATAGAATTGCGTTGCAAGTTCTCGACGCAAAGATTTTTTACGGGAACCGCCACATGACACCTAAAATCAATAAAATCAACGAATACTGACACCAACTGTACGAACCTAATCGCAGTTGTTCCTAACTGCTCTTAACCGGACTTATTGGGTGATTCCCGTTATTCTAAAATCTCTAAATTTGAAAGACTAAAGACCAAAAATTTAGAGAATGTGACTCCAGATTTAACATACTATTTTGAACCTAAATACTCTACTTTTAGAATGGAACCCACGAATAAAATTTTCCAGTCCTTTGTTTTTCTTTGTACCAAGAAGTGGTGCGTGCCCCTCTTTCTTTTAGTAGTAGAAGATTCCAAGAAATTCCGAAAAAGACTGGTGCAATGAGGAAGAAGAAGGAGGTGGGCTTTCTGCTCTCCTCCTCAGTAAACCCTAGATCCCTGCATTTAGCAGTTTGGAGTATTTAGAATAAAAGGAATCACCAATTGTAGCCTTGTCTTTCCTTCTTCTCCTGTTATTGCTCTTGGACTGGCGCCCAGGACATTCTGGGGCCCCACAGTGCTGTATTTTCATAGTAGTACTAGTACTACTAGTAAATTTGTGGTCTGATATTCTATGGATCTAAGTGGTCAACAACTACTAGTACTATTCCAACCTTTTAAGTGTTTGCCAAAATTAGGATTTGAGTTATGTGATTAGATTGCTCTACTTGTAAAATGTGTTATGGTCTGGGGTTGACGGGATGCTGTTGTTGACCTACTAGTACTAGTAGCTATCATCAGTACTACTACTAGTACTCCTGTTTTTGATGGGTTTCTTCTTGTTGTATCCTGTGTTAAAGGGTGGGGAAGGGGATGAATCTTTCCTCTTTCACATCATGTCTCATCTTAGTACTGTGGCAGTACTTTCTTGCCACAATACTTTTGAGAATGAGGCCAAGGCTTGTTGAGGTACAAGGCTATCGTATTTGAATTTGTGGGACGAGGTACGAAGTAGAAGTAGCTAATATTTAATATTTTGTCTTATTATCGTCCTACGTCTGTACGTCGTTTCCAATACTCAAAAAGTACGGGACTTACCGTTAATAGCTATTCTAGTGCGCTCTGTACCGTACGTACGTACCTACCCAATTTCAAATTTCGAGAACTTTTTTGGAGACAGTGAACCTAGTGAATGAGTTTTTGGTCATTCTTCTGACTTCATTACAGTATGACTCGGCAATATTCTTTGGCTTTGGCTGTAATATGGGTGTGATAATAATATATGAGACTGTCTTGGACTGTACCTACAGAATAAGCCTGATACAAAACATGCTCGATTATCAGTTTGTACGGTGCCGTTTGATAATCGGACCTCAAGACTATGTACGCCAAACGTGATCTAAGGCAAGATCACTCATTTTCACAAAAACCAGAACTGCTTAATTTTGAAGGACTGCTGGCGTCTACGAACGACAATTAGAACAAGAACAACCACTAGAGCAAGCACCGTACGGCACAACCGATTCAGATACTGCGTTTGCTTGTTTTTCTTATTTGACGACCCACAAGGCAGGTAATAAAAGCATCTAGAGGACTGTACCTATTTGATCTATTTACGAACCCATCAAGTTGTTTCAAGACTCTTTTTCTACCGAGCAATAACGAACAAAGGAAACTACTGATTCTGATACATTCGTTGAGCATGTCGGGTTACGAAGTCCTCCCGATGCGAGCCGAGCTTTACACACCAGCGAACAAAATATCTGCATGGGTCAGCAAAAAGGAGGACAACGTGGCCAGGGACCAATCCAAGGAATACCAAGGCATGTGGGTCGTTGAGGACTATGCGTTGGAAAAGAAGATATTTAGCGAAATTTGGATTTTCCATGACGACGATGAAGAGGGCATCGACAGGCGTGTCCTCAAAAACAATCCACTCCAGGGCAAATGGGGATACAGACCTGGAGTAAATCCCAGCAAGGCCGAGCCAAAAGATATGTGGTTCTTTCCACCGAATTCTGCGAGATGTAAGATCCCTCAAGAGATGCAGGAGTACAACCACAAGGGGACGTGGGTCAAGCCTACATACAAACGAGATTTCAGTCAATTGGGGAGCAATTCTTCTGGATTTATTAATGTTAGCGGGGCCATGAAAATTGCAAAGGGGGGGAAATATTCTGTTCCGGGACGATGGAACGTGCTGGGTTATAATGACGACGTCGTTCGGGGAAGGCCGAAGAAGCAAGATGACGACGACCGCACCAAAGGACTGTGGAAAATATTCGTTCGAACACCGTCTGGCGAATGCTTTCCGATATTTGCTATTCCGGGGACCAAGATAGCACAGTGTAAAACCAAAATATACGATGAGAAAGAGATTCCTGTAGAAGAACAACGTCTATCCTTTTATGACGTCCCTCTGAAAGATGAAAAGACATTAGTCGGGTCTGGCGTCCGCAATGGCGACACCATCGATCTCGGTCCAATTATTGTCCATGTTCGAACTCGACAGGGGAAGAAATATTCGTTCGAAGTCGATCCAGATGAGTTGGTGGAGAATCTTAAGAAAATGGTCGAGAAACGCGAGGGAACCCCTGTAAACGAACAACGGCTTTATTTCAAATTGAAAGAACTGGTCGACGGAAAACCATTGTTGCACTTCAATATTCGACACAAAAGCTCAATTGTTTTGGGATCGATGATGATTTATGTCCAGCCTCTAAGCAACACACCGAAAATTCCACTAGATGTCGAGCCCACAGATATTCTCAAATCGGTGAAAGTGAAGGTAAAAAATCGCATACAAGTGCCAGTCGGGAGCCAGAGGCTCAAGTTTAAAGAAAAAGAGATGCTGAATGATTCCAAAAACCTTTTGCAGTACAAGCTCCGTCATCTCGACGTTATTTTCATGATTAACAGCGAAAGTTGTCGAGTGAGCAATGATCAACAGAATCCTGCGATGACTATTTATATTGTCAAAGAGTGGAACAATCATAAAGTTAAACTCAAAGTGGAACCAAAGAATACGGTTCTTGACGTCAAGAAAATGATCAAAGCTTTGGAAAATATTCCTATCAACGAGCAAAGGCTGAGCTTCAACAATAAAAGCATTTACAACAGCAGGACCCTACACCAATCCAAAATCAGAAATAAGAGCATCCTGCACCTGAGGAAACCGAATAATATTGAGGAGGAGCCTCCCGAAATGAATTATCCTGCCACGGTTGAGATTGAATTGCCCGACAGGACAAAAATGAATATCCCCGTGACGTCTTCTATTGCATTCTCTGATATCAAGGACCATATCGAAATTATGAACGGCATTCCAAAATCGAAACAAAGGATATTCTTTTTTGACAACGTAGAAGACGAAGTTAAAGACAATGCTAGCGTTTTTCCCCGCGGTATAAACAACGAGCACGGTCCGATTGTCTTAAAACTTCAAAAGGATCCCGATTGTCTCCAAGTAAAGACAACCGATGGGAGGTCTTTTTATTTTGATTATGATCCTGCTGCTGATACAGTCAAGGACCTCAAACGAAAAGCTGCCAAGGCTTTAGGGTTTCCTTTGAAAGATTTCCACCTGATTGGCGATGATGATGAAAGAATTGGGGATGATGATGACATGCCTCCAGATGGAACTATCCTGAATGTAGCTTCGCTTGTTATCGTCGAATTGCCCAACAAGACCAAACTTAAAGTTCCTTTGCTTCCAAAAATGAGCTTCGATGATGTAAAGGATATCATCGAAGAAAAAACTGGTGAACCAAAAGCAAGCCAAAGAATTTTTTTCCTTGATACTGAAGGGAACGAGCGTGATGACTATACCCCTATGAAGAAAGCAAAAATCAAGCCAGGCTCGACTCTGCAGATGCGTTTGGTACCTTCTGAGCCTAACAGCATGGTTACTGTGAGATCACCAGATGGACGATCTTTTTATTTTGAGTTTGATCCTGCCAATGATACAGTCAAGGATCTGAAGACCAAAATGGCGAGGCAGTCCGATGTGCCTGTCAATAAACTCCCTTCTTTCTTATTGGACGATGTTGAAGTAGATGACAATTATCCCATATCCAAGGATACTGTATTCCACTTCAAGCGAAATAGATTGAGAATAGAACTTTCCACGGGTGAGCGGCTTATGATACCCACTTTCCCTATGCAAACTATCGGCGAAATCAAGGACGTTGTCGAGGAGAAAACAGGTGTCAATAAGGCAGACCAACGAATCTTTCATTCTGAAAGCGATGAAGAAATCGACGACGATGTACCCCTAGCATCGGCCAAGGTCAAGATAGGAATTCCACTCAAAATCGTCTGCCAAAGGAACATAAAGGAACCAAAGGAGATCGAAGTGAAAGATCCTTCAGGTAGAACTTTCCAATGCGTGATAGCCCCAGATGAAAGTGGTAGGGAGATTAAAGAGAGGATCGCCAGAAAAATTGAATTTCCCATTGGTGGATTCAAATTAGACAACAAAGAATGGAAAGACGTTGATGACGAAACATCACTAGAGGAGGCAGGATTCCCAGTAAGGTTTGGAGGCATCATGGAAGTAGACCCAGCAGAAGTAGAAATAGAGCTCCCAAACTCGAAATCGATGAAATTAAAATTGCTGCCAACGATGACAATTCGGAATATACGGGAACTTATCGAGTTGGAAGCACCCGCATTGTCAACCAATGATATAAAGAAACGTATGTTTTTCTTCGATGGTATTGACGAATTGGATGATGATACCCCGTTTGAGAAACTGAAATTTGAGAACGGATATAAAATTGAGACGCAATCGATTCTGATGAATATTCACCATTGGAACGGGGAGAAATTTAAACTTAAAGTGCATAATGATTGGTACATGGATGACATCAGAGATCGGATATGTGCATTGACTGGCATTCCACCAGAGAAGCAGAATATTTCTTTCAAGGGTGAGCCAGTCAAGGAGGACTTACAGTTGACGAAACAAGGGGTTGTGCAGGGTTCAACTCTTTTCCTAGAGCCAATGTCTTTGCGTGTAAATGTTCCTCACAGAGAGAAACCAATGCGTTTCGTCGTGAAACCAACAGATACCGTTCATGATATGAAACGAAGAGCCTTGGAAAAACTTGAGAAGGAAAGGATCGGTCCAATGAGAAACTACTATGTGATGGCTGGTGGACAGGAACTCAACGACAGGGAAACCATAGAGAAATGCGGCATTCAACACGATGATCTCCTAATTGTCGAAGAATTCAAGCTGTATATCATGCACTGGTTTGGTAAAATTATTCATGTAGATGGTATACAACGGGATGATACTGTTGCTTCTTTAAAAAAACAGATTATGAGAACAGAGGATATGCATGTGAGGGATCAAATACTTTCGCTGAATGGGAAGAAGCTGAAAGACATGAATACACTCGAAAAGGAAGGGGTGAAGCACAGAGCAACGCTCATCCTGGAACCTTTAATGTGTAATGCTAAAGATCCAGAAGTTGAGAAAAAAACTGTCACAAAAATGAAAATTAAGCAGTTCAAAACAATTAGAGCTGACGAAATCATGCCGGTCATGCCTGACTGGAGAAAAAGAATTTTCTTCTTTGATTATGATGATACTTTTGATGCTCATATTGAATTGGTCATCATGCATTGGACAGGAGAGAGCTTCACTTTGAATGACATTCTCTTAAAAATGCAGGTCAGTACGATCAAGAATAAAATATTCAGAGCCAAAGGAATCGAGAAGAAAAAGCAGAAAATCAAATTTTCTGGGAGAATTCTAGATGATAAGAAAACATTACTTCAAGAGAGCGTCAGTCACAGGTCAATATTGGTATTGGAATCGCCGATTAAGAACAGGATTGCCAATCCTAGAGTTACAAGAGTGAGTGGGATAGATTTGTTTGGAACGGTTCCGACGAAAGTCCTCGCCAACATAAATATCAAAGTGAAACACTGGAATGGTGAGACCCTCAGTCTCAGTCCTGCTCCCAACTATTATATCGACGATGTCAAGGATCTAATCAGCAACATGAAAGGGATTCCTGTTGAATCAATTCGGCTTTGGTTTCACGGAAAGCTTGCTGATGATTGCATGAATCTCAAAGAACAAAACATTGTCGAAGGTTCGATATTATTAATGGAACCAATGCGAGTATTTCTTGAGCTTCCGAAGCCAAAAAAAGAACTAAAATCCATGAATGTCGAGGAAGATCAACAGGTTTCTGCCGTCAGAATGGAAATTTCGAAGCTGTCAAAAATTCCTTTCGAATGGATTTGCATTATGTTTGGTGGAGAGGAACTCGATTACTCGAAAACAATATCTGAAAACGATATTAAGCACGAAGATACGCTAAAAGTGGAAACTTATGAAGTAAGGATAATGGATTGGTCGGGTAAAACCTTCTCCGTAAAGAAAATCGGCCCAAACAGCACTCCTCGTGATGTAAAGGAAAGATTTTCCAGGATGAGTTCATTTTCCAGGGAAGAGCAAATTCTTCTTTTCAAGCACCAGATTTTAAATGATACGCTTACGTTGAAGAATCAAGGAATACAGCACAAATCTATCCTGATTCTTCAGTTGCTCGAGGAGAAAAATGAAGTTCCAGCTTCAGTGAGACAAAAACTGGCGTTTTCCTTGTACGATACATCTCAAAATGTCTGTAAAAACAAGATTGGAATTAGTTCAAGCTTGACGATAAGTATTCAGCATTGGAGTGGTGATACGTTCAATGTCGTTTCCAATCCGATGGAATATATTGATGATTTGAGAGATGAGATTCTTTCGTCGAAGAAAATTCCCATTGACCAGCAACGATTCGAATTCAACGGTCAGCTGGTCAGTGAGGATAAAAGTTTAGGGGAACAAGGGATCGGAAATAAAGCGACTCTAGTCATGAAAAAGATGAAGATCTACATATCTATTTCTGGTACTAATAGTATGGTAGGAATAGAGATAGATCCTGATGAATTCATCTTGGACCTAAAGAAACGGTTTCGGAGACAGTCTAGGCTTTCAGCCAAATTTGAATGTCTTCTGATGGCCGGAGAAGAACTTTCCGACGCCAAGAAGGTGTCTGATTATAGGATCGAAGACGGGGAAACATTGTACCTCGATGTTTTCAGGATCAAGATCCTAGACTGGAATGGAGAGCTCTCCGATATAGATGGGATTCATTCGAAGAGCACCGTGGACGAATTGAAGGCAAGAATCTATCTCTTGAGAGCGATTCCTTCGGCCGACCAATTGTTAAGAGTTGAAGGTGGACCAGTCATCGATACGTTGCGCCTTGAAGACCAAGGAATCAAACACTCGTCGATCGTTATTATTGATCTGGCACCGAAAAGTGCTAAGGATTCACAGCTGCAAAACAGTGCGAAAGCGAAAGAAAAAATAGAAGACAGAGGCATCTCTCCGACAAGAAAGAAAGACAAGTTAGACAAAAAAAAATCGCTACGATCGTCGAAAGCTCATTCGACGAGATCAAAGTTGTCAAAGGATTCGAAGAGAAACGAATCAAAGCCTCCCAAAAGAAGGGAAACGTCCGATGACCCAGCGATGGATGGTGTCGTTTCAAAGACTTCAAAGTTGTCAAAAGTCCCGGAGAGGACGAAATCCAAGTCTCCAAAAAGGGGGGAGGGAAAGTCTGGTAAACTGAGGCAGCCCTTACTAAAAACTCGAAGTTTGGTTTCAAAATCATCCAAAGCTGCAATCAAGTCTAAAGGGAAGAAATCGGAGTTTTCAAGAAGAGCGAAGGAAAATTCCGACAAGCCGGCGATGGAAAGCACGGATTCTATGACACCGGAGCTGTCGACCGACCTGAAGAGAAAGAAGCTCAAGCGATTGAAAGTAACGAAACAAAAATCTCGTGAATCTATATTATCCATGTCGTCAGCAGTGGAAAGCTTGGAATCAAACTTATCAGAAAAGCGAAAACTCTTGAAAAAAAAGAAAGGCAAGTCTGTGAAACGAAAGAAAGAGAAACCTCTCAATTCCAGGATTGCAAGTTCCGACAAAAGCACGCTGAGAGTCGTCCAGTAAGACGGCATACATCTGATGATTCTACAAAAAACTTATTCGATTTCGACTAGATCTGGACTAGAATGGAAAGAGTTGTTGTAAACTGCAAACTAATATCTACATATTGTAGCGTTGGTATTATCATTTAGACGACTGGTTAATTGCGGTTGTATGTTCCACAAAAAAAAACAATTATTTAAGTACGAAGATTCATTACTAGTACTAGTATGAATATGTTGTAAACAATTGATCCCTGTACTAGTCCAGAGGTTCGCAACATTAATTTAGTGATCCCAACATTACTTTTGTAGAACCCAGTACAATCTACTGGTACAGACGCCGTATTGTACATTTCTGAGCAGCATCTATACGATGGTACTATGAAGCATGAATGAAACAAAAAATGCGAGAGACCCGCATTGTATTCTAGAACAGGAAGGAAGAAAGATGGTAAAATTATCTCAAGAAAACCCCTTTGTCATCTCCATGATTATTCTTATTGTTTCCAACTTTGGCTGGGCAGATCAGTAGATTTTGCAAGCTCTCTTTTTTTTGGAAATAAACAAGAAGTAATCAAGTATTGCTAAGAAATTCCCTTTGACTAACATTGCAAACAGTCATAGTATCATATGGGACAGGGCACTTACTTTGCATCTAGTGACTAGTTTGACAAATAAATTAGCATGTACATAATACACATGCTCAGTACTAGTGTTGAATATGAATCCCACCAGTTGTGTGACTAAATAGTATTGTGTGCAACTGCTGCTTTTGCTTGAACACATGCTATTGCTATTACTGTAGCAGTAGTACAAGAACAGGAGTGTAAATGCTTTGTCCATTGCACTGAATGTTTTGTTCACTGTGTTCTTGTGTCTCCTCCTCATGAAATTGTTTTGTTTTGGTGATACTGCCCCTAATATAAGTCTTATGAAAATTTTAACTCTGGTGTGTTCTTTTGTCTGTATTCTTGATTTAATAGGAATGATGAACTGTCTTTGCACTCTGTTATGAAAAAATTTCCCCTAAAAGTAGCCGTAACCAAACCATTTTTCTTCTTGTCTACCCGTATCCAGCAGGGAAACAAATTGTTAGATGCAACAATTCTTTTATGGCAATTCCTGTAGCATTGCCCAACTTACCCTTGTAGTTCTTTTGAGTCAGAGTCTGGTGTGTGTTATGTCTCCTGCATGCAGTTTCTGCTCTGTTCACAGTTCCAACCCAACAACCGGCAGACATTACTAGGCCCTCTGGACCAACCCAACAACCGGCAGACATTACTAGGCCCTCTGGACCAACCCAACAACCGGCAGACATTACTAGGCACTCTGGAGCATCCTCTCCACCATAAATTTCTTTTACCTGTTCTTAAACTATGTTTTCCACAACTTTATCCTTTACCAGGAACTTAACATGCTTGAACAAAACGTTTCTTATGTATTTACATAGTGTTTGTTTCAACAATGTTTCTATATGGTGCAATCTTGTGTCACAAGAAGCAAACACCATTCTCTCCTCCTCTTCTTCATTCTGTCTAACTACTTGTAAGGACATGTCTGTTGATAAGAATCTATAGACAAATTCAATACAAATTTCTGCAAAGTGTAGGTTGCAACAGTGGTTTATTGTAACTGTTTAGCTTGTGATAGTCTATACTTCTAGCTATTCATCAACAAACAACAAACACTCCCTAAAATACTTACTGATAATGTTAATATATCTAACCTGATGCTTCCATGGTTGTAAGAGTTTTCAGGCATCCAAATCAATTTCATGTGAAAACCATACAACAATTATTTTTTTAGTGTACAGTATATTTTTGGAGGTGATGGCACTTTGTGTGAAACAGGCGCACTCTTTTCCCTGGTTATTATGCAAACTTTTTCTGCTTATCAATAATTTTCTGGCACACACCAGCTCTTGCCCATGGGTTGTAGTAGGTTATTAACAGAATTCAAAATCTAGTATACATATAATCCTATTTCCTCCAAGCAAAATCAGTCGTCAGGCGACTACATCACATATACAATGTATCAACATACTATTCCTACACCTCTATCCATACCTATGAACAATAGTTGCCTTCACAGGGAAAGAACTTTCTTGTCATATCATCCATTGCAGTTTTCTAATTTCAAACCCTTTTTTCTTTGAATCCTATCTTGAAAACCAACTCAAAAACACACAATAGACCAAATGAAAACAGCATTCTTGGATATGACCTTTTCCTCATTCTCTTATATCCTATCAATAACCAAAGTAATTGCAATCATGGATGATGTTTGAAATACATAGGAGTTACCAAAACACTGGTTCTTGCTTGTCAAGCCCCAGAATGACCTGTGTTTGTTCTGTGTGTTCCATTCCCAGTTGTTTGTTTGGAATAATTTTACCAATCTCTTTCATTTAACTGAGACTGAATTTGTGTTCACTACACCTGAAGTCTGCCTATTGCACAAGTAAGATCACAAAGTAAACATCAACCATGTCAACCACTGATCCCAAAACAGCAGCTCTTTCTGGGCCTAACTGCATTAAGAAGCAAGCCATAGACAACTTGAAGGATTCCATTAAAGCCGCCATTGGAAATGAAGACTAGTACTTTGATCAATTTTTTGCTGCAGTTCTGCAAGAAGTTCAGACACCTTTCATGGATCGAAAAAGGCATGTAATCATGGTGTCAAGAATTCTACTTACCTTTCCTCAGTCGGATGTTGTAGAAGCCAAAACCAGCAAACCTGGTGACTTTCCTCTTACCATCCACCTGTTATTGAATATTTTCCTAGTGCACCACAAGAGCTCTCAAGTCAGAGGAGTCTCCCAGTTCAAAGCAGTTCTAAAAAAGTTTACCATCTCCTGTCTTGGCAGATACAAATTTTCAAAGCATGGGGCAAATTCCAAGAAAAATTGACAACCCAAAGGAGTAGCTATTCAAGTCACTTCCTCTGACTTGACAAACAAATCCAAAAAAGGCAAGAATGGAAATCTTGTCACTTCAAAAATTATGATCAAGTACACAAACACTGTTTGGAACCTTTTGGGTGGTATTTTATGTATGTCAACCTTCTTCCATCACTGAAGGAAAACAGATACTCCACATACAATCCTACCTCCAGAAGGTTTCCACAAGAATATTGCAATGAAGTTGGAAAAATGGAGAAGTTCTTGGGCAATCTTTTGTGTGACACAGCCCTCCAGAGGTTGGTTGGCAAGGGGACTGTTGAGGAAACAGTTTACAATAATAGATTGGATTCACTGATACATTCTGAAATCAACCTTTTGTTGTACCCTGATGATGCCAAAAGGTACATCTCTTCTGACAAGATGACTGGCAGCTGCCTCAACTCCAAATTTCTGAATCCTCTAGGTGGGTTGCTTCTCTCTATGTGGCAAAATCTCCATGCAATAAATGGCAATAAGGCATTCACATCCATATCCCTCAAACACTGTTATGAAATGGTGTTCATGTACGACAAATTCTACATGTTCTTTCTTCCCATGCTACAGCAATGTAGCCTTGTCATTCCCTTGAGAATGGTTCCAGAGACTGAATTTTCTAAGATATGCAAAATTGATCATGGCCATGTTGTGCAAGCACAAATAGTGTTTCCACACAATGAAAACATGTTATCCACCATTCTCAGTAACAAGCACCAATCAAAGGTCACTTAATACTAAGACATCAAAATCAATCACAGAGCCAGTCCCAAAGTGAACCTTTATAGCCTTTGACCATGGCATTTAACCTTTCTATAGCCTTTGACCACGGAATTTTCAAGGTATCTTTACCCAAGAACAGTTTTGCAGATATCTTGGTGTTGCTTACCCAGTGGTCCTTTGACCATTATGTTTATAACCAAGGAGGATACCCCCCCCCCCCCCTCTAGTTTTGCTGAAATAGCCAGGTTCATTGACCATGGTTTCTTCTTGTTTCCTGGCAACACACCAGACAATGATGCAAAAAAGAAGGATCGCTTCAATTGACTCATATTTGGTGACTAACCACAAGGCTACAAATGTGTATACAATAAAATGACCAACAGCTACCAGGAGCACCAAACAATGGAGACATCTAGCACTGCCAATCAGGCTGCTGTGGTCAACTTCTTCCACAGATAGATTATATATCACTTGATTGTCAAGATTTTCTGGCTTTCTGCTTGTGGGTCTGTGATTAGTATTGTGGGAGTGACTGTCCTAAAAGAGATGTAAAGTGTG